GTTGTGGTAATTAGTTATGCAGCAATAAAAAAACGATTGCGTCTTTCCATTTGGGCCTTCACCCCCAATATTCAACTATATGTGCTCATACCAAGGTTACTAGTAAATAATTTAATTCACAGTACTCTTCTTATCTATAAGCAGTATTTGACACAATTGATCTGTTCTTCTTGATTCGTTTTCACTTGACCGAGAGGATTCTTCTATCTCATTTTCTTTTTCTCCTTCTAGAACCCCCACCACATGATGGTAGACCTCTCCTTCTTTCCCCCAAATCTCATATTCTTTCTTTTGTATTTTCCAACCCTTTATCTTTCTGCTGCATTTTGGCTGATCTCTTCACATTTACCTTGAATTTCAGTAATTCTTTCTTGAGTGATGTCTAATTTGTTGTTTAACCTTTCTATTAAATGTTAAATATTAATGACTATCTTTTTCATTTTCTATAAAGCCAATCTGCCTCATTTTTAATGCCTCTGGTCTTTTTTGTATTTATACAAACCTTAAAAATATTTTTTTAAAACACCCTAACACTGGGTATTTATTGTTGCTTTTATACAAAATATAAATGAATAACAACATTAAATAAAAGTAAATGTGTAGCCACATTAAAGGGAATGATAACCAACACTTTCTGGGTAGTGATTATCTCTCGCATAGAAGAGGAGGTGAAGATTAGGGAAAAGTCCATTGGAGTCTTCAACATTAGTATTACATTTACTTTCTTAAGCCAGATGTTGGGTATATTAATGTTGGTATAAATAAAGAACAATTTAAAGAGATTTTTAAAATGTAATTTTCTGTGAATTCTCCTCAGTTGAAATATTTCTCCTCTTTATGATATAGAACATTCATTGTTTCATAACCTTCCCTCCTCTCATAGCCTGATGTTGCTAGCCTCATCTCATTCAGTGGATAGCCTGGACTTTTGACATCACAAAGAAAAAGGAGCTCCAACACATGCTTTATGCTTTTCATCAACTTCCTTATTTATCACCTCCGATTTCCAATTTCTTCACCCGTTGTTGTTACCTCCTTTTTTTGTGTGTTGGTAGAGACACCAGTATTTCTTTGTTATGTCAACATCCTGACCTTTATTTCTGATTTTATCTTCTACCACCAGAGTTAACAAACCTTTCCTATAAAGGCCCAGATAGTGCATATCTTTGACTTTGTAGGACACAGACTCTGACACAACTGCTCATCTTTGCCAATGTAACACAAGGTCAGCCACAGATAATATGTAACTGAGTGAATGTGGCCGTGTTCCAATAAAACTTGGAATGCTGGTGGTAGGGTTTGACCCAGGGGCCATAGTTTGCTGATCTCTATTTTGCAATATCCAGAAGGCCACTCTGTCAACCAATTACTTGTTTTTGCTGTGAGCCATCTCTCCTCATAATCCTCAGGCCCTCAGCCAGGGCATATTCTATTTCTTCTTGATTTTTCTGTGGGACTTTACATTGTTGACCGCTCCTTCTTACATTCTTTTCTGATTAGCTTAGTTGATACAAATCATAGTCTTTATCATCTCTATCCACCCAATTCTTCAGATAATCCTTGGTAGTTCTTCTTTTTATGAACACCTAGTTTAAAAAAATTGTGGACACTTAAAAATATATACAAAGGAAAAAGACTAGTATAAAGAAGCCCGATGTACCCTTACGCCCGCTTCAACATTATCAAGAAAGAACCAAGTTTTTCTTACTTCCACCTTCACTTTTTTTTTTTTTTTGGCTTTAGTGTTTTAAGATACCACCTCACTAATTTTATCTAACACTCAGTAAACACTAAAAATCCCTAATTGTGCCCAAAGTTTTATTTTATCATTGATTTATTGTCCCACTTTTGGTGATACAATTGGTTGAGGTATAAGTAACATCAGCCTGATTCTTCCATTATAAAGCTCCTCATCAACTATTCTCCTAATAGTATTCATAGTTATCCATGATTTTTGCCCAGGCCCATTATTTCAATAAGGGATGTTTGGTGATTTCCTAATTCCATCATTCCTTCTATGTTCATTAGCTGGAATTCTTCTATAATGTGCTAGAGGGCGAAACTCCTTTGTATTTCTCCTTTACTCACATACACTAGCACCACATTCACAGTACTTCTGAAACCAGTGGTGTGGATTTTCTCTCCACACTAATTCTCTGACACCAGCTGGATGTTCTATCATTCAGTTCATGTCTAAGACACCCTACCTGGAATTAGCATCAGATCCCACAGGCTAAGGGCTCAGTCTCACAAGAACCCCTCACTTCCGACACTAATTGCAGTCCCAGGTGTTCCCTGTACTTCTTGTGGAATGGCTGCTCATTGAGGTTCTAATGACATCCTCCTCGGGTTTGATACTATGCTAGAGTGACTTGCAGGGGTCAGGGAAACACTAAGTTATTCACTGGTTTATTGTAAGAGAATACGATGAAAGAAATAGAAGAACCTCATGTGGGAGAGATGCATAGGGCAGGGTATGGGGGAATGACACCGACAGAGCTTACTGCCCTCTGTGGCAGCACCTCCCTCCCAGGACCTCCATGTCGTTCAGCACCCGGGCAGCTCTCAGAATTGGTAATTCGGGGATTTTTACAGGGGCTCCATTATGTAGACATGATTAATCATTAACTCAATTGCTAGGCCTTCTCCCTTTCTAGGAGGATGGGAGGTGAGGCTGAAAGTTCCAAGCTTCTGATCATGACGTGGTCTTGCTGGTGACCAGTCCTTATCCAGAAGGTATCTAGGAGCTCATCAAGTTTGCCTCATTAAAACAAAAAATACTCTTATCACTCAAGATTTCAAGGGATTTAGGAGCTGGTGCTCTTATCACTTTGGGAATTACAAGGCTTTTAGGAGCCTTGTGCCAGAAACCAGGGTCAGACATCAATGTATTTATTTTTAATTTTTTTCACAAAGGATACATAGGGTTTGGATAGTAAACAAATTTGTTTTGCTCCTTTTCTCAAATGGAAACAGTTAAGTGCCTCACTATTAATTATAATATTGCTGTTTTTTTTTTTTAAAGATTTAATTTATTTATTTGACAAGGAGAGAGAGATCACAAGTAGACAGAGAGGCAGGCAGAGAGAGGGGGGAGGCAGGATCCCTGCTGAGCAGAGAGCCCAATGCGGGGCTTGATTCCAGGAGCCTGAGATCATGACCTGAGCCAAAGGCAGAGGCTTAACCCACTGAGCCACTCAGGCACCCAATGATATTGCTGTTTAAAAAAAAAAAAAAAAAGTTAAAAAAATCCCTTTATCAGATTTAGAAAGCTTTCCTTTACGCTTAGTTTGCAGAGAGCTTTCTACCGTGAATTGATTTTCATTTTATTAAATGCCCTTTTTTTGCATCTTTGGGAATGATACAAGTTTTCCTCTTTGTTAATAGGATGAAGTTTTTTCCATTTCTTTAAGAAACTTTTGTTGGTTTGGGTTGTTCAGGAAGCAGATGCCTGAAAGGGATTAGACACACGAGATATTTGTTGGGAGAAATGACTCTAAAGGCCAAGGGGTGGGAAGAGGGATATGCAGGTGTGGTACCAGTGAAAGAAGGCAAAGGAGGACTGGGAAGGAAGAGTGTCAAACGGCAACAGAGTGTTAAGAAGATTTTTCTCAGGCCACTGGGAAGATGTTGTGTACAGCCACCTGTCTGAAGCATTCGGAGCCTGGATTTCCTGGCCTTGCTGAGTCACTGGCTGAGAGCATGCGGGGGTGTGGGGGGGCGGTACATGACTTCACTGTGATCCGGAGGGCTCAGAGCTGGAGTGTGGGTTAACCGCACCCCCACAGCAGGAGATCTATACGGTTCTCACTTCCACAGCCGCAGCTGTGGACGGACTTGCCCTGTAACCCAAAATGGGAAAGTTCTAACTATCAAGTAAGCAGAAACTGCACATAGGAGGTCTGAATCTTACCAGATCAGCCACCAAGACTTGCTGAAGTAATACCTCCGAATGAGGGAAAGTTAGACTGAATAGTGGAGGAGGGAAAGAATGAAAATCAGCTATGTCCCCAAAGACTAACCTCAGTAAGGGAATACCTCACCAGTATCTTTTTTCTAAATTTCTTTTAACAAGACGGTGGATGAGCTGCTCCCCACATGCGTGTGAAGAAGCAGATGTGTGTGGCGCAAGGAGTGGACTGTCGTGCCTCTTACAATGCACCATTCTTCCCTCAGACCTTTTGTAAATGTAAACGTACTAGAAACGTACTCTAAAAATAAAGAAACTCGTGGGAGGAGGATCTACATAGAACCTAGAACCTAGAAACCATAAAATAAAAGATGAATGAATTCAACTGTATAAAGTAAATTCTGCAAGGAAAAAAAAATTCATGCGAAGTTAAATGTCAGAAGACAAACAGAAAACAACAGGAACTCATATTACAATGTCCTGAACTCTTTTTTTTTTTTAAAGAGTTCTTCTTCTTCTTCTTTTTTTTTTTTTTTTAAAGATTTTATTTTATTTATTTGACAGAGAGAGATCACAGTAGACAGAGACAGGCAGAGAGAGAGAGAGAGGGAAGCAGGCTCCCCACCGAGCAGAGAGCCCGATGCGGGACTCGATCCCAGGATCCCGAGATCACGACCCGAGCCGAAGGCAGCGGCTTAACCCACTGAGCCACCCAGGCGTCCCAAGAGTTCTTCTTTTTTTAAAAAAATTTTATTTATTTATTTGACAGAGAGAGATCACAAGTAGGCAGAGAGAGGGTGAAGCAGACTCCCTGCTGGGCAGAGAGCCTAATGCGGGGCTCAATCCCAGGACACAGAGATCATGACCTGAGCTGAAGGCAGAGGCTTAACCCAGTGAGCCACCCAGGCACCCTGTCCTGAACTCTTTAATACATATGGAAAACTCCTAAATCGATAGGAAAAACACCCATAGTACCATCGTTGATAGATACTGACCAGAAAACTCCAAAATCTCGATGGCTTAAGCCACAAAAGTTTATTTCTCATCTGTTTTGTGTCCACGATGGGTCCGGTGGGGATTTTTTCAGGTTGCCCTCACTACAGGGCTTAACACCGATAAGCAGCTATCTCCTGACATATTCTGCTCATTGTGGTGGAAGGAAAGTAACTCCGCTTGCACTGGCAATTAAATAAGGGCCTGAAATTGATATTCAACAATTCATCTCACATCATTGGCTAGAACTAGTCCCATGGTCCTGCCTAAGCCCAAGGGGATGGGCTGTGCCATACTGTGTGTGCCTGGAAAGAGGGCAGGACCCCACACATGTAAGGAGCACTAAGCCTATCCCATTACCATGCCAGAGAGTCTATGAATTATTTGGTTTCTCAACTGAAGGTCTTGTCAGAGAAAGACGATGGCATATTTCATTACATTTCACATGCTGGTGATTAAAAAAGTAAAAAATTCCTTTCTTTCCAAAATTGGTTGTGACATCATTCTGATCAACAGAGTGAATCTGGGGATCTGTCAGATAGATGAGCCCTTTTCCATTCCCAGTCACCCAACCTAAAAAAGAAATACATATGTCTGAGAATTAAATCCTTTATAAAGGTCAGTAAAGTATTTCAGAAAAATAAAATGTATTTATTTAGAGAGATACTTTAAAAACTTGGTTATACTGAAGTTTATGTTTAATAAGTTTCTGTTAAGGGATTTGGTATTGTGTATTCCAATTACTGGTTTAAGAAGGGAAACTGAACATTAGAGAATTAAATTTGTCAAATATGACACACCTAGACCACCAATTTTCAAGGAATTAGAGAGCAAAAAATGCACTTAGTTTAATTACGGATATAACAATATATTGAACATTTCACGATTCATAAGTTGCTTTTTAGTGCCTAACCCATTAATTCATCTGTTCATTTAGCAAGTATTTATCGAGCATACACAGTATACAAGACACTGTTTTGAGTACTGGGGATTAAGCAATAAGTAAAAAATCACTATACTCATTGAGCTAACATTCTGGTGAAGTGGGACAGATTAATAAGCAATATAAATAAGTAAAATACATAATATGATAGAGACTGATGATAAATGCTATGGAAGGGGGATAGAGAAAATCTTGGAGAATGGTCATAGAATCATTACTAAAAACAGTTATAAGAAAACTCATTTATCATTTAAAAGAAGAGTATTGGCTAATAATTCCGGTAAACAAAATACTAGATGAACGGAAATAAAATTAAAATATAAATGCAGAGATCTTTTTTAAAAGTCAGATTCGAGTGCACACAACTTTCTATTTCATAATGACCCCATTATGAAACCTAATGTCACACTTGTAATAAAGGTAAAGGGCTGAAGAAAAGAACGAGTGGCAAGTCTTTCCACATATTAAAGCATGCAATATTAAAAAACCTACATCATTCAAATATACTTAAATGAAATAAAAAAAAAGTGGATTTGCTCTAGAATTGAGCCCAGAAGAATGTGAGCCAGATCTTACTGATTTTGTGACACTTTAGACCCTTGTAGACACTTTAGACAATTTTTACAGACATCATTTGTTTTAGACAATTTTTACAGACATCATTACAGTAAAATCAATCAATTGAATTATAAATAGCGGTCTATTTAGGCCCTGAACAGTCTATTACATTAAATAATGACTGGAAGCGCTAGTTACAAGACCTCATGTTTACATATGAATAACACTAAAAATTTAAAAATCCCAATTTCACATACCTTGTAAATCAACTACAACATCTCTATGATTAGAAAACTCATAGGAAAAATGGCCATAAGCCAATCCATATTCTGTGGCTTTGTATTCTGTTTTAACCACTTTTGCGTTATTTGATAACTTCACAAATTCTCCCAGTATGTAAGGTTCCACACTGATACATCCCTTTATTGTCTTGCCTTCCAAAATCTGAAAAATAGAAATGGGAGACCATAAATGACTAGGAAGGCCACAGGCTTTGGGCTTGGGTAGACCTCACTTTGAACCTAGGCTTTGCCGCTTAGGAGCTGTTACTTCCGGAGGTTTTGGTCTGCTCATCTGTAAAGCAGATACTGTAATAATAACGACCTTATAGCACTGTTAAAAAAAATTAAATGAGAAAAATGCATGTAAAGTGCCTAACATTTTGGCATATAATGGAACCTAAAATAATTTTTATTCTTTTTTTAAAATACTCACATAAAAATGAGGCCATGAAGTGACCTACTGTAGAGAGCTAGCTTGTCATGGAGATAAATCATGGCCTGGAATGCTGGGCTGGAATAGCAGTTCAAACATTTGTGGGTATAATCTCTTTTGTCAAGTTGTTTCAAAGGTTAGAGTTGATGTGTTAAATGCCTGGCATAGTGCTTGACATAAAGAAAGTGAAAAATGGATGATAGCTGTAATTGGTAGTAACAAAATACGGGTCAAAAAATGTCTTTGGCCAATGTAAAAAAAAAAATTCTTTAGGTATGAATGAGCCAAGGATCCAACATATTTGGGAAGGCAGGATATTCTTCACCCAAATAAAAGTCAGTGTCTTTCTATATTTAAAGAGATAGCTTAGTAAAAACAGATTGGGCTCAATGACCCCAGAAGGTGGAGTTGCAATTCATAGGTAGAAATCAGACAAAGACACCTTTGGGCTAGATCTAAGAACTTCCTAACAAGTAGAATTGTTTGCAAGTGAAAAGGGAATAATTATTTTTCCTTACTAAAGGTGTTTAAACTATGACTTGGTAATTCCTTGGCTGCCAGGGGTGGGGACTAACAGATGTAAAATAGTGAATTCATGCATCAGGTTGTCGAGGGGATAATTTGTACTCCGTATCATCTTTAGGGTCCTTCTTCTCTCTTTGAAAGTACAGCCAGTACACAAAGAAAGGATATGAAAAAAGCTCACTTGACCATGTGGGACCAGACACCAGACTTAACAGGGTGACTTGAAAGATCCAAATTATGTGTTCAGGGTCTAGAAGGTCATAGTTCTTACACATCTCCCTAAGTAGATGAAGAAGTTGAAGCAGTTGAGGGAGTCTGGTAACTGAGTTTATTGGGAGTTAGCAAATATGTACGCATAGACCTGTTGAACGAAACACTTGCCCTCTTTAATCTTACCAGTAATAATGTGGATGGGATATAGAATATCTGTGTTGGAATCTTTTGTTCGTAAAGTCTCTTGTTAAATTCCGTCACGTAGTGCTGTGCGGTCATTTGCCGTTCCACATCAGTGAAGTGGTGCCAGAGCCCCTTCTGCTCCTTATATTCTTTCCCAACATATCTATGACCAGAGGAAAAAACCATACAAAAGAAATGCAAAAGTGATCTTATCACAGAGGAAGAGAGCAGAGACGAAAGGAGAGATGTAAAAATTCTTGAAAGACATTACTCTTTCTCTACCTTGGACAGTCAATATTAACTATCCTTTCTTATTTCATGACTCAAATAATTTTGTAAGCGCCTCCTGAACATGAGAACATAATTCATGTTGGCTGATGGTGACGGCTAATGTTATGTGCTATCTTGACTTGGCCATAAGGTGCCCTGATATTTGATCAACCATAATTCTGGCTGTTTTGGTGAGGTTATTTTGGGATAAATTTCACACTTAAATCAACACACTAAGTAAAGCAGATTGCTCTCCCTCATGTGGATGGGCCTAATCTAATCAGTTGGAGGACAAAAAATAGAATGAAAAGAATGACCTTCTCCCAAGTGAAGAGAATTCCGCCTGTCACACTGCCTTTGAGCTGGGACACTGGTCTTTTCCTGCCTTTGGACTTGAACTGAAACATCAGCTCTTCCTGGTCTTGAGCCTACTGGCCTCTGACCTGGAACTACACCATTAGCTCTCCTGGGTCTCCAGCTGGCCAACGCAGAGCTTGAGGTTTCCTGGCGTCTATCATCATGCAAGCCAAATCCTGACAATAAATCTCTGTCTATATGTGTATATATCTTCTTGGTTCTGTTTTCCTGAAGAACACTTTCTGATACACTGCCCCAGGACAATGGTGATTATAGAGCAAGTGTCCAGTTACTGTAGCAGTTGGCCAGCCCCCCCTGGCGAGTCTAGGGAGCCAGGATGGACACTGGAAAGTGTGGGCTCTGCAATCAGATCTTTTACTACCCGCACTGTGGCCTTAAACAGGTCAGTTAATCAATCTGAAGTCTTCCTCTATCCCTTTCTTTTGTGATTACTTCATCTGTACAAATACTTGTTTCCATCATCACCTGTTATGTGCGTAGTCCTGTGCTAGTCCTGAATATTTTGAAGAAAGTGTGACATAGGATTTGTATATTTCAAGGCCTTATGCATAGCTGGAGACAACATATGAGGGCAGTAAATGATTAAGTGTTGAAAGGAGCAAAACAGTAACTATCACACTTTACTGGAGTTTATATTTGCTATAAGCCAGTGTGAATTTATGAGGAATTTGCGTGTGTCCAGAGTGACCTCCAAAAATCAAAGAGAATTGTCAGAGTTATAGACCTCAACTAGAGAAAACGCTCTCCAGAAATTACTGAGTCCACCATCAAAAAAATTGAAATCTTACCATTTGTAACGACATGGATGGAACTAGAGGGTATTACGCTAAGCGAAGTAAGTCAATCAGAGGGAGACAATTATCATATGATCTCACTGATATGAGGAATTTGAGAAACAAGGCAGAGGATCATAGGGGAAGGGAGGGAAAAATGAAACAAGATGAACCCAGAGAGGGAGACAAACCATAAGAGACTCTTAATTTCAGGAAACAAACTGAGGGCTGCTGGGGGGGAGTGGAGTGGGAGGGATGGGGTGGCTGGGTGATGGACACTGGGGAGGGTATGTGCTACAGTGAGTGCTGTAAATTGTGTAAGACTGATGAATCACAGACCTGTATCACTGAAACAAATAATACACTATATGTTAACAACAACAACAAAATTACCAAGTCCAATAGGATTATGAAATCCAAGTTGGCTGAAGTTTTGGCCATTCAGACCCCTGAGGATCAGAAGGGAAATTTGAGGGGCACCTGGGTTGCTCAGTTGATTAAGTGTCCAACTCTTAGTTTTGGCTCAGGTCATGATCTCAGGGTCCTGAGATCAAGCCCGGTGATGGGCTCTGCACTCAATGCAGAATCAGCTTGAGATTTTCTCTCTCCCTCTTCCTCTGCCCCTTTCCCTGCTCACATATTCTCTCAAAAATAAATAAATAAAATCTTAAAAAAAAAAAAAAAGACAATCTGACAGTGGAGGCTGCAGAGGAGGAACCTCTAAAGCATCAGAAAGCAGGCAGCAGAGGAGCAGTTGCCTAACAGGGTTAATCCAGCGTTTCTGCTATGGACAGACCGCTCGGCTTGCAGTAGCTTTGAATCCGTTCAGAACTTTGAGCAAACCCCGGTACTGGAACCGTTCCCAAACATTCTGTCAGAGGACCTCCAGCCCTAGGTAGAGGATCATCAATCTGGGGACAGAGGTCCATTCTTTCTGGCATCTTATGCCATTTTGTTGGGATCATTTTTCTTCAGTAAGGATTTGTTAGCAGTAAACTCTTTTTTCATTGACAGCTTTTAAGATTATTTCTTTAACCTTGGTGTTCTAAAGTTTCACTGCTATGTAGCTAGAAGTGGGTTTATGATTGCCTGCCTGCCTTCCTAGTTTCTTCCCTCCTCTTCTATCCTACTTAGGATTTACTATGACTCCTGTATTTGAAGATTAATGTATTTTGGCAATTCTGGGAAATTATCAGGTATTATCTATTTAAATAGTAATTCTTTTCTATTTGATCTGTTATCTTTTTCGGATCAGATATACGTTGGATCCTCTCTTTTCATCTTTCACGTTTCTTATTCTCTCTTTCATTTTCCATTTCAGATCCTTATGACACATCCTGCTGTATTAATTTCTTAGGGCTACTATAACCAAGAGCCATAAATTGAGTGATTTAAACAACAGAAATGGGTTCTGTCACAGTTCTGGAGCCTGTAAGTCCAAGAACAAGATGTCGGCAGAGGCCATGTTCCCTCTGAAGCCACTAGAGAAGGATGTTTTCCAGTCCTCCCTCCTGGCTTCTGGTGGTTTCTGCTCTGTGGCAACATAACTACAATCTGACATGCATTCTCCTTGTGCAGGTCTATCTCCAAATTTCCTTTTTATAAGAGAGGATGAGCGGCCCACCCTATTCCAAAATGACCTCATCTTATCTAATTATATCTGCAATGACTCTCTTTCAATAAGATCACAGTCTGAGTACTATGGGTTAGGATTTCAACATATGAATTTGAGGCTGGAGGTACAGAGCTGTTAAAAAACTCATTCAACCCATAACACACAGCTTCATCGCTTGGATGTGTGATGTGGGGCAAGTTTCTTAGTATCTCTATGCCTCAGTTCCCTCATCTGTAAAATGGGGATAATAATGTTTGCCTCATAGTGTTTTGTGATGATCAATTAAATTAGTATATAAATTACTTAACATAAGCCTTGGCACATATATACTTGGTAAGTAGATTTACATGTTCCTATTATTATTATTATTATTATCAACAACAACCTTTTCAAGAAATATACTTCCATTGTTTAAGAATCACCCAATTTCTCACTCTCTCTCATTTCTTCTCTTCCTATTTATTTCTTACATTATTTAGATTTGGATAAAGAACAGGATCCATCTTAAAATTCTTGGCTTATAGGTCTTTTTAAATACACAGATGATATAAAATTAGGCCTCAAACCTAATGCGGACCACTTGTGGTGACTATTTCTCAGGTGAGTTTTTGCTTGAAGTTGTCATCCAGAACTAAGGCCAAACAAAAAATTTTCTGGGTGTTTACCTCAGTGGGATTTTTTAAAAAATAAAGATTTATTTATTTATTTGAGAGGGAGAGAGAGCCGGAGGAGGAGCAGATGGAGAGGCAGAATCTCCAGCAGACTGCTTGATGAACAAGAAAACGGACATGGGGCTCTATCTCATGACCCTGAGATCAATCATGACCTCAGCCGAAATCAACAGTTGGACACTTAAGGAGCTGAGCCACCCAGGAGCTTGGGGTTTTTTTTTTTGTCTGTTTGTTTTGTTTTTTGTTTATTTTATTTATTTTTTAATTTAATTTTTGAAAAGATTTTATTTATTTATTTGACAGACAAAGATCACAGAAAGGCAGGCAGAGAGAGAGGAGGAAGCAGTTTCCCTGCCGAGCAGAGAGCCTGATGCGGGGCTCGATCCCAGGACCCTGAGATCATGACCTGAGCCGAAGGCAGAAGCTTTAACCCACTGAGCTACCCAGGTGCCCCTTGTTTTTTTTTTTTTTTTTAAATATAAGTTTCTCCTTAAAGATGTAGCCATTCCTGCATCCCTGTTTTATATGGATGATCTCTAAACACTCCCTTACACGTGTAACTTTGGTCACTAGCTGCCACCTCATCCTACCCCACTCAGAATGTCTACAGGAGGTGTCTCAAGGGCTCAGTATGCACTTATACCTCCAAAAATGCTTCATCCCTAGCCTCAAAGGAGTCTCCTACCTTTTCTGCAGACTGTTTATTTACATATAAGTGTAGTTTTCACAGTTGAACTAGACTTCTTGCCAGCATTTTTAGTGGGAGTGTTTGAGGCTCTCTGCCCTGCCATACAGTCAGAAACTCCATTTTTCTTATCTGTACAGTGGGGATAACAATGTCTCCCTGAGAGGTTTGACATCATGTACATCTATGTAAAATGGCTGACATAATGTTGTTCAGTGTGTGGTAACTACTGTCAGTTAATGAGGAGAAAGGAGTAGGGATCTGAAAATATACATTGTGGCCAACTTTTCTGGCTCTTTCAAAATCACATAAGTGATTAAGTAACAGAAAGGCATAATTAGCCCATTTTGCATTAGAAGTACAGATGTTTTAAAGAAATACCTCCCCAGAGTTTCTTCCTGATGAAGATAATGAACCCAAAAAGCATTTCTTTGTCTGCCTTTCTTCTTCACATTCAGGTAGTCCCCCAAATATACAACAGTTTCTTGGGCTGTCCATAGTTCTGATTTTTTAGAGTATTTTAATAAAAGAGCATCTGGAAAAAAAGAGAAGATAAAAATGGATGTTATTTTCAAAGTTTGTTATAATTTATAAATAAAGTTGAAGCAACACAGATTCTAATCCAAATTGCCTGATATCTTCAGTTTCTTTAGATGTTTTCTCAAAGTTCAGCCTCTTCTATGACTACTACTGCAAAGTTAGTGAAGTACAATAAACTAAAGCTTTGCAAATGTAATGAAGATTCACAAAATCTTTTGCTTGTGATGGTGAGGGATTAAGATAAGGCCAGTTTTTGTCTGAAAATAGTGGGAAGGAAAGTCTTTTTAAGCAGCAAAGCCCCAGAGACCATCTTGGAAGAGTGATATATGCTTGCATTTTCTGCTAATTATCTGGGGAACCTGGGACCTACGACTGGTACCAGACCATATAGATAGAAATAAATGAAATAACTTTCCCTCAGAGACTCCTGGCAACTCCAGAAACCATGGTTACTATTAAAGTGCACCTTAATTTTCTCTTACTTGTTCTGTTTAAGCTGGGAAAGTCCAGGAATTACTTGACAAAATATAGCTACCGTACAATTCAATTCTACTCAATTGAAGAAGGAAAAGATAAGAAGGAAAAGCAAAAAACTGTCTCCACCTTAAGGAAAGGCAGAACAGGGCAAGTAAGAAAGCATTTCTTAGAGGGAAAAGACATGAACTCTGAGAAGAAATGCAACATTTTGGGATCCCAGTTGAAATGATGTGAACAAGGACCTCCTGCATCTAGGTCCTGATAATGGGTGAAGGTACAGGTGACTCAGGAGAGAAAAATACTTCAAGTAAGATAAACTCACAGGTCTGGGTCTGGGGCGGGAGATGGCTGGAGGCTGGGGAAGACAGTAGCCAGGGTTGGGTCACTCAGTCAGAGAAACTGGGGATGGAAACAGAAGGCGAGCTGCTTGCACACATCCATAGGAAAGGCAGTGAACTGGGGGAAGCAAGACGGAGGAATGTATAACTTGTTTTGTGCTTCCTCTGTTTTTCTTATCTGTACACTGGGGATAATAATATTCCCCTACTGGGTCTGAGATCATGTACATGTGGCGTTTTACCCACAAACTGGCACATAGGCGTAACAATAAAGGGTTGCCTAACTCTAAGAAATGTGATTCTGAACCTACAGAATCCCTAGAAAGGGAATAGTGAATAGGGAGACCCTACTAGAGTAGCATTTCACTTCTTTTTGTGAAAACTGATCTGTATCTTAGTGTGACTTCAAGGCAGCAGGAAAAGCACTGGAATACTTTGAACAGAAGTGACTGACATTGTCTTTATAAAAACTTACTGAAGAGCTCTTAAGGGCGCCTGGGTGGCCCATTTGGTTAAGTGACTGCCTTTGGCTCCAGTCATAATCCTGGAGTCCTGGAATTAAGTCCTGCAGCAGGCTCCCTGCTTGGCAGGGAGTCTGCTTCTCCCTCTGACCCTCCCTCTTCTCATGCTCTATCTCTCTCATTTTCTCTCTCAAATAAATAAAATCTTTTTTTTTCTTTTTTTTTTTTAAAGAGCTCTTAAAAAATACTGATGCCTGGATCCAAACCTCAGACTCATTAGATTGGACACTCTGGGGTGAGGCACTGGAAATTTTAAAAAGCTCCCCCACCCATAGGGATTCTTATATGATGACAAGATTGAAAACTACTACTCTATTGATTGATTGATTGATTGATTACATGAGATAAAGAGATAAAGAGAGAGAGTGAGTGAGCGGAGAGAAGGGGAGAGGGAGAGGGAGAGAGAGAATCCTCCAGCAAACTTCCCACTGAGCATGGACCCTGATGCTGTGCTCCACAGGGTGCTAGAACCTAGGACCCTGAGATCACGACCTGAGCTGAAATCAAGAGTTGGACACTTAACCAACTACCCAGGCTCCCCAAGAACTATTACTTTAGTATCCAGTGCTTAGCAATCCGCAGAATTTGTCTCTTTTCTCTCATTCAAATAATTCTTCAGTATCTTAGAGGGTGCTACGATATGATCTTCGGGGCTAAGAGAGGAACCTTCTTTTGTCTCCTTCCCCGCCTCTCCACCACTTCTAAGCTGTAATAGACACATTGACTACCGGATGGCCCCAACCAAGACTCCCTGCTATGGTAAGTGACACTGGGCTGTTCCATAAGCAAGAAGGAATTGCTGATTGCAATAGTAGAGGGCACTTGCTCAACCCATTGGCTGGGAGAAACCTTGCGGACAGGTGTGAAAATCTCTGCCCTGCAGAAGAGTGATGTTTAACTAGGTCAAACTCTGCCCCTTAGAATCTGAATAGGGAAAAACAGAAATCAGCTGGTTGGTAATGAGAATCCATGGAAAAGAAAAAAAAAAAAAACCCAAGTGATGACTGTCCCTTGGTCCTGTAAGATTCTTGTCTCCCTTACTGCCTTGTGTGTCTTCACAGCAAGCCCCCAACATATGAGGTGGCCTGAATAAGCCTCTAGTCTTTGCGACCATTAGCGTCCACCACACCAAGAGTGAGGGAAACCCCCAAAGTACATATTTTTCTGTATATTCACAAAGTGTAAGAGGTGTCTGTGTCTTTCATGAGTTTTAAGTGATCTACACATCAAGCTCTTCAGAGGACCCCAACTGCACACTGAGGCTTCCTGAGGCTCTACCTACCAAAAAGGTTGTACTCACTGTGTGCTTGGTGGAGTTGATTGGGCTTAAAAACTCCTGTATTCTCCAGTCTCTGTAACAGCCACTCATGCCTCACCCCTGCCAAGAGTTTTTCAAAATCATCAGGGTGTAGGGTTCGAGCCTCTAGGATCTCTTGCCTTATCATTCCTGGCAATGAAACAAAAGAACTTCCACTGGAATTCAGAAAGGACCATGAGGTTTCCCTCTCAGAAGAACCGCTGGAAAATGCAGGTGATTTCAACCACCATGGAGAGGATGAGCTGGAGTTCTGGCTGCAGTTTAGTGTGTTTCCTGGTTTGTTTCCTTCCTCTGTGGTAGTGCAGTCCTTGCTAAAATCAGGGAAGGCAATGTTACTGCTTACAGATGGACCGGGGGTCTCAGCCCCCTGATCACGCGGCTGCCTCAGAGCAAATAGGCTAGAAGAGCCACACCCCCTGGTGGGGTGAACGTCTGTGCTGTCCAGCAGCTGGCCCTCCTCATCCACTGTGGAGGCATCAGGGTCAATGTCCTGCTCTTTGACTGAGCCGCCACTCTTTTCTGAGTCAGGATTTTGCACAGGCCAATGAAGAGTGGAAGAGCTACATGCTGTCACAGAACTTTTGCCCAGAGACAACTCCACGGCTATGTGAGAGTGTAAGGGTGTATCCTCCTCTTTTTCCTCTGTTTCTCCTTCTGGGTCAATCCAGGAGGAGCTATCTTTGAATGTAAGGCCTGTGCCTCTTTTGATTTCTTCCCCATGCCTGTCTTCATCATCGCAGTTGATTTCTGGAAGTTCAGTTAGTTCAAAGCTTTCTTCTCGGACCAAAGGGTATGTGGCTATGTTCTTGGGTGGACCAGAATCAGAAGAGGACAAAGAAGCAGAACCAACCGAGGGACTGGAATGAGCAGAAGTGTTTCTGGATCCCATGTTTCTGACTTTCTGCACACGTTCTGGAGCTCCTTCTAACAGCCCTGCACCAGAGGCCAAGAATATGGCTGTTGTGTTATGAGGACAGAAGGTTGTCAAGGGCATGTGTTTGTGTTGCTGACTTTGAGAAGACTCTAAACTGTCATCCTTGGACACTTGGAGAGGGAGACCATGAAGTTCTGAAGACAGTTGATGTACAGCTCTTCTTTCCTCATTGATCTCTAGCTCTTCAGACAGGGCAGTGGAACACTGAGTATCCACAAGACGTTCTTCTTTGCAAGGCTCTTTTCTGGTTGGCCTATCATCTATATAATTCACTTCCTCCCAGCTTGTAGAAGAACTAGCCCCTGATAACTTGCTCCAACAACTAGAGCAATGGCCGTCACTCAGAGACTTGTCCAAAACAGCTCCTTCACCATAACTGTGGTCTGGTGACTCAACCTCAGCCTCTACATCTTGATCCAAGGAGACTTGAAATGCATCAGAATGGGTCCAGGTTTTCCCTCTTATCCTCCTGAGTGTCTCCTGACTATTCTTAGCCATTCGGGAGGACGATATTACCATGGCTTTTTGAAAATGTGATTTGTCTTCAGTAGTACTCACAGTATCTACGTTTTTCGTCTCCGTTTTTAGAGTAGTGATACAGACTTTGGTTTTTGCATCTTTCTGTTGATTTTTGTTGTTTCCACAAGAGCTTTCAAATACTTCACACACTGAAGTGTGGTGCTGTGAATAGGCTCCAAGAATTTTTTGGAAATCCACATGCCCATGCAAGATGGGTTTATCCAACCCATGCTTGAAACTCTCTGGAACATAAGACTTGTCATCTAAATTTAAGAAGCCTTGAATTTGTAAACGATCCTTCACCTGGGTTATAATAGACAAGATCTGCTGAGAGAGAGCTTCTCTCTCCTGACTTCCAGAGGAAGTACTGAAACTGTACAGCTTTCCCATAGCTTCATTACAGAGCTGACTGGCTACGCGGACCATCTCGTTCTCCCCGTAGAGTCTTTGGTGCACTGTGGTCAGGCCGAAAGCAGCTTTGAGAAGACTATGAAGCTCTTGTTTTCCAGTGGCTGGTTCGTCATATCTCTTAGTGAGGAGGCCAATTTCGAAGGCCTCTTTGGCTTCATACAGATATGAATTTTTCATTTCTGGAGGACAGTCATCAGAACTACTATAGGACAATAAGCATGTGCCACGGATGTTCTGAGGAAAATACCAAATACAAAATCAGACATTGAATTAGAAACTGGAATTGAATCAGGAAAAACTTCATTCCTAGAGGACAGTCATTAGAAGAATTATAGGAAAATAAACACACACACCGCAGATATTCTAAGGAAAATACACAATCATGTCTTGAGTCAAGGACCCAAAGTATTTTTGGTGAAACAGGAGAACGGACTGGGTTGTATGTGATTGGTTGGCATGAGGGGGTAAGAAATTAGCTTGAGCTACCATCTTGCTGTAGGCCTGATACTTCTTTTTTTTTAAGTTTATTTATTTATTAATTTATTTATTTTAGTAATCTCTATACCCAAGGTGGAGTTCAAACTCATGACCCAGTGATCAAGAGTTGCATGCTACTCTGACTGAACCAGCCAGGAGACTCAGGCCTGATATTTTTGATCAAAGATTATAAAGTTGTTGTTGCTGTTACTTCTGTTGTTAGTTTTAGCAAAGAGATTCTATACATGGGACATGAACATAGTAATTTTCTCTGTGTAAATAAGGCTACCATATACAAAGGCACCATGTATTTAATAGTAGTCAAAACCATGGAGTAGCAGCTTCCAAAGCTCTCTGTGCACCAGGGCAGTATTTCAAAATGAAAGATTTCTAGTACCAGTCCCAGAGATTTGCATTTAGTGGATGTTGGGTGGATCAGGAATGTGCATTTTGAAAAGACTCCTTGGGCAATTCTTTTTTTTTTTTTTTTAAGGATTTTATTTATTTACTTGAGATCACAAGAAGGCAGAGAGAGAGAGGGAGAAGAGGGAGAAGAAGGCTTCTCTCCAAGCAGAGAGCCCGATTCGAGGCTCGATCCCAGGACCCTGAGATCATGACCTGAACCGAAGGCAGAGGCTCAACCCACTGAGCCACCCAGGCATCCCTCCTTGGGCAATTCTGATGTGCTTGGGAACTCTTGGTCTAAGGCAGACAACATCATACCCTCAGGCTGAATTAATTCCGCCTTCACCAGGATGTTACTACTCTGACTGATAAAACCCTTCCATACACAAGGCCTGATCATAATTATCTAAAGATGTGCACAAAGCCCACTTCGGGTTAGACTTTTCCCTCTCGCTGGTTACTTCCCTCACTGGGCAGAGGTTGGTGGGGGGGGCTGCCCCCTGCTTACCACTGCTGAGAGCACAAAGAGGGGTGTGTAGGGACTGAAGGCAGTGGCCAGTTTGCAGGCTTCTGCAGCTGAGAGCAAATGGTGGTCAAACTCCTTCAGCAAACCCTATGAGAAAATAGGAGACAAAACGTTGTACTGACAATCATTTATCCATTAGCAAAACGCAGGCTCTGAAATTCCTTTGCTTTTGTTTCAGGATTCTGAGCGACACTCGGCCCCTCATCACAACTATTTCGGAATAGTGCCAAGAAAGAGTGAAGTGGCTCCAAAGACCCGAGGGTTTGAGCGCCCTCTCCCCCTGCGCCCATACACAATCCTGTCACACACCCTTTGCTCCCCAGAGAGGGCCTAATGTGGGCCAAAATTCACAATGCCTGCCTGTACAAAATAACCAACACAAGTTTCTCTGGAGGATCGTGCAAGTCTTTGTTCACAGAAGCTGCATATCTTGCAGTCAGATTAGCTGATGATTCCTGCGCTGTTCTTGGCAAAGAGCCTTTTAAGCAATTAAGACTCGTTCATTCTTCCTAGAAATACTGTTCTAGGCACGATTAAGACTCGTTCATTCTTCCTAGAAATACTGTTCTAGGCACGAAGGAGATAGCAGACAGTGAGGCTGTAATAACCTCACTTCCTATTGAGGGGAGGGGATTAGTCAATACACAAAACAAGTAAGATGCATAGTGCCTGACGTGGTGATAAGTGTTCCAGAGAAAAATAAAGCAGGAAGGGGTCACAAGGAGGTTCAGGGTGGGGAGGAAATTTGCAATTTTTAAAAAAAATTAATAGTTTTTTTTTGTTTGTTTTTTAAGTAAGCTCTATCCCCCCTGTGGGCCTTGAACTCCAGACTCTGAGATCAGGAGTCACATACTCAGCCAGGTACCCCGGTAGTTTATAATCTTCAACAATCATCAAAGATAACTTCGCTGAACAAGGGATATAACCATTTTCTTGTGTGTTGGTCTGACAGCAAAAGCAACATTTTGCTAAGACTCAGATCGCCAGCAGCAAGCTGCGTGTGTTCTTATGCTACACTCATTACTATTAAATACAGTTACTATTTATTGTCACTTCAGTATTTAATAAAAATAGTAATCTTCATGTAATATTAAAACTCTCAATAACAGTGCTGAGCAGAAGAGCAGTTCGGTGTCTATGCTAATGTTCTAGACTGGCCGGAAACCTTGGTTCTTCTCCTAGTATTCTTTCTTACTGGGTGTGCAAACTATGGAGCTCATTTAGTTTCTCTGGACCTCAGTTTTTTTCCCTCTAAAATGGGAATAATACATTTTGCTCTACCCATCTTATGGGGTTTTATGTAGCTCCTACATATTGAGTTGTAAAGGAATACATAAATATTAGTAATCATTGCTATTAAGGATAAGAACCTTGACAAGTGACTGAGGCTCTGATTTGAACAGAGGCTCAGGAGAGTTTTAAAATTGTTACCCCTTAGGGGCACCTGGCTGACTCAGTCAGTAGGGCATGCAACTCTTGATCTCAGGGTTTTAATTTCAAGCCCCAGGTTGGGTGTAGAGCTTACTTAACAAAATAAAATCTTTAAAACTGTTACCCTTTTACCTTATCACTGAGATAGCCCAAGTGTGGAAGTGGAATTCTGTGATGATTTGGAAGATCAGTGGGATTCAAAGCATTTATCGCCCCGATGATATTTAATATTCATTCATTCACTCGTCATTTTTTTTTTTTTTAGTAACCTTGTATGTCTAGTACTGTGCTAGATGCTAAGATAATATAGCCAAATAGGACACCATAGAAATTGTCCCCAGGATTGTTCACGTGACTCGAAGAGGGGAGACACTTGTGCTCCCTGATGCCTGGAGCGAGAACGAGACTGATGCACCGAGCACCAAAAATGTTGGTAGTTTTGTTAGGGGAGGCCACTCTGCACCCCGGTTGTGACATGTGATAATTACCAAGTTAATCTGCGGATTGTTTTTAAACTTCTCATAATCGTTTTTGCTCATGGAAACAAAGATGTCTGCCAGTATACCTAGTGATGTGGAAATACCCTGTAGGAAACAAACAAACAAAACACAGATTAGGAATTTGTGGTCAATCTCTGCTCACCTCTCAGGGCCTGAAGGCAACAATCAGTTCTCCACATGAACTACTCTGGCTGCTCTTCTTATTCTTAATGTGACTGTTATTCTGACAGTGGAAATACTTCTAAACAGACACTGCAGGTCTCGAAAGATCATCACATCCTGAAGACACAGACCTAAGGTGAGCACAACTGTTTCCTAGTTGAGCTTTACTGGACTCTCAACCCTAGCTTCTCCAGACTGTTAGGCCTAAAGAATTGGCTCAAGCCAGAGTCCTTGTGTCCCATTCTGTCTGTGTCGTAGACGGACTGTAGGCAGCGGCACTGCTGGTACAGCTCAGGGAAATGAGATGACCCGTTGCTCCAGTTAACAAGGAAAACATTCCCACAGACGCACAGAGAAGGAAACATCAAGTAGGAAAGCAAGTGTTGCCTCTCGATTTCTTGGATAAAGATGCCCCAGAAACAAATGGAGCATGGAATGGAAGCCTGTCCACTGACTCAAGGAAAATGACTTTACATATAAGTAACGTGGCCACCTCAACTTTGCTGTGGAATCAGGTAAAAGCTAAGTCCATGCTCAAATAAAGAGATGAATGGGTCATAGAAATAAATAAATAAATAAATAGACAGATAGATAGAAATGAATGCAGAAACACTAAATACATGTCAGGAGTCTAGCTGTGAGTGGGGGCAGGGCAAGACACAAGAGGAAGGTAACCAAATATCCCTGGTCCTATGCCCTCGCAGAATCAATAAAAACAGAACCAATAAACTTGACAAATGATACACTGAATTGTGCCATAAGGAGATAGTCACCCAAAGACAAATGTAGGAAAAGAAAAAAATAAGCACTAGATACACCACCTTTCTATCTGGCTGGGGAAGTGTCAGATATCCTATGATGGAGGTCCAGATTAGCTCTGCTGCTTCATACCACATCCCTGGAAAAAGAGGGGAGACGGGACAAACTGCCAGTATCTGTGTATTGTGAAAGAAAATACACTGGGGAGGGTATGTGCTATGATGAGTGCTGTGAATTCTGTAAGACTGATGAATCATAGACCTGTACCCCTGAAACAAATAATACATCATATGTTAATAATAATAAAAAAAAAGAAAATACCTTTGAAAATTAATACAGAAAGAAGACTCATTGGCTCCTGTTAGGAAAACTTGAGATTGAATTATATTGATAGCAATCAGCAGATAACAATCTGCTGGAAAAACAGCAATCTATATTTCCAGTTAGTTTAATACAGATAATTCTTCCCTTTCACAGAGAAACAGTAAAAATTAGAAATTATATATATATATAATATATATAATTTTTACTGTTGATTTTATGTATATAAAATCAATTCCATTATTTATAAGAAAACTAATTACCATTCTATGTTAAAAATTTTCAAACACTTGGGGTGCCTGGGTGGCTCAGTCATTAACTGTCTGCCTTCAGCTCAGGTCATGATCCCAGGGTCCTGGATTGAGCCCCGCATTGGGCTTCCGGCTCAGCAAGAAGCCTGTTTCTTCCTCTCCCACTCCCCCACTTGTGTTGCCTCTTTTGCTGTGTCTCTCTCTGTCAAATAAATAAAATCTTTAAAAAATTTATTTTTTTCAAACACTTTAGTTTGCAAATTTATTTGAGCACCTGAAGCTCCTTCTTATTCTTCCTTTTTGTTGTTTTTTTAAAGTCTTCTGCATTTAGGTGAGGTAAGGGCTTTGGGATAGGCTAAGAAGCCCACAGGGCCCCCAGGGGCTCCTTACTCCCTCCTAGCAAATCTCCTTCCCTCCTCTCTTCAGCCTATAGCAGAGCTTCTGCCTTGTGCCCCTCCCTCCTCAGACCCCTCCTTTAGACCACACCCCCAACCCCCCCCCTCCCCCCCGCCGTGTTCTGGTTGCTCTGTCTGTGGGGACCGTCCTAGAAGCCCTCTCCTGGACTATTGTCAGAGCGCTCAGGCTTGCTGGGCTCTAAACAGCAGGGGCACGACCATGCATTTTAAAGCACAGTTAGCATTCTATAAATTTTGTTTAACAAGCTCAGGAATGCCCTTGGAGGAATGAATGGGTAAGGTGTCAGGGTGGTGTGGAATAAGGTGTCACTCTAGCACACGGAGGCCCGTAGAACTGAAAATCAGGGGCCAGAAGTAACACGGAGAACCGTAGGGCTCACATCACATTATACAACTACGTATTTCTTGAACAAAACTCAACAGAAAATATTTTGTTCTATTAATGTTCATAACACTCCTGGGATCTTAAATGTCATTTTCTTCTCAATAAGGAAACTCAGCAAAGTGGGGATTAGCAATGGTAACCAGATACATGAAGAAAATTCCACAGTAAACTCTCTCAGCCAGCCTTTGTAAATGAGCCCCAAGAGGTGCGAATGTTTGATGACCGACCGACCGTACCTAGCTTTTGCAGAATTTGCCCTCTGATCTGTATGCAGACTGACTGCACCAGGACCTTGTCGCTTTCATTTCTGTACAGCCAGGTACCTACGACAAAAGAAAGGGAAAAAATAAAAATAAATAAATAAACTTAAATTTATTTATTATTTTTATTTATTTATTATATTTATTTAACTTATTAAATAAACAAATATATTTATATTTTAAATAGATGATAGATAGATAGATAGATAGATAGATAGATAGATAGTTAGTTTTAGTTTTGAATTATCAAGGAAATAGCCTGGTGAAATGGAAGTATTTTCACAGAAGCCGTCATGAGCACATGTGATCTAGATTCGAGAGATGATCTTTTCTCTGCATTTAGGGAAAGGTCCCAAGTCCTGGCTGTAAGCTATAAGGCTTCACAGAAATGAACTCCTATCTGGTCTCCAACTCTCCCAACTGACTATGTTCTGCCACACTGACTTCGTTTGTGTGCCTTATTATGGGGGCTGTCTCTTGCTGTTACCTCTGCCTGGGGTCTGCTTCCCTCTGGTTCCTGGGGAGGCCAGGTCCTCCTTCCAGTCCACCCAAAATTGGTTTGGAGGTCGAGACTGATGGCTGCACATGCACTCCGAGAAGGTATGAAAAGGTTTTGTATTCATATAAGGAGCCTTTCTGAGGAGAGCAGGCAGGCACCCAAGCTGGTCCATTTGACGTGAGTAAAGAGGGGTGAGTGGCTTTGGTTTTTATTGTGATTAGGGTGTGTGGGGCTGGGGTAAAATCTCCCACAAACTACGCTTGGTTTACTGATGAGTTGGTTTAAAACAAACCAAAAAACAACACCCCCACATGCCAGCCTGCCCAGTTGTGGGACAACAGGGTTGGGGGTAGGCTGGGGCCTGAAAACTGTCAGTGGTCAAACACCAAAAATAGAGTCAAATTCATTATTATACCCTCCTTGGTTCTGTGTCACATCACCTTCTCTGTTTTCTCCCCAGCTTTTAATCCCAGTGTGTGTGTGTGTGTGTGTGTGTGTGTGTGTGTGTGTGTGTATGTGTGTGGTGTGGAAGATGGTAAGTATGCATACCATAGGTTAGTGATGGTGGCCACAAAATGAGGGGTGTATGGCCAATATCTGTATACCAAAGTGCCTCCCCACTGGAAATGTCTCTAAGTTTCAAGGAGCTTGGGAACCTTGGATCCAGGCACACTGGGATTAAAAGTCTACTGGAAGTTTTGTTCAACTTAGTGGGAAACTTGTTGGATTTAATGCCCAGAAATTCAGGCAAGATATCTGAAGGTTTAAATGATTTGTTACCCAACTTCCAGGTAGTTCTGGAGATGTCTAGTGTACAGTAACTATGAGGTCATTCAGTTCCTTTTAAACTAGAACTCCGGTAGGACCGCAGGTGAGAGTCGTTGTAAGATAGGAAAGCATCTTACCCGTCGCTCCGTTGTTGCTTATTAGACTGCTCAGGATATATTCTGCTTTTAGAAGTTTCCCTGAAAAAGAAGCAACCAAATGCTACACAATTAGTTCTGAACACATGCCTTCAATACTACTAGTAGTTTATGCTTTAAGATGAACACATTGTAACAGGGAACATAACCTGTCTTGGAAACATTCTGTTTTAACATACTAAGTCAGGAGTGACGGGATGGCTGTTTAGTTAAGTGATGGACTCTTGATTTCGGCTCAGGTCATGATCTCAGGGTTGTGAGATGGAGCCCAGCATTAGTCTCCCTGTTTAGCAGGGAGTCTGCTGTAGGTTCTCCCTCTCCCTCTCCCTCTGCCCCTCCCCGCCCCTCTCTAGAATAAATAAATAAATATTTTTTAAAAATAAAAATAAAATTTAAAATCAATAACTACATCATACGCTAAAGTGAACAGAAAGGGTGAGATTTCCAGGAACTGGTCAAGTGGGAAGTTGTACAGTATCTGAAATGGCAATTAGATTTACACACATTCATACACATATACACTCATTCATATAGAATAAGGTTTGGGAAGTAAAGGCAAACCCTTGTAAAATGTTATGTCTTCTTTTTGTGAATGACTTTGAAAGAAAGGAAAGAAAAGAAAGAACGAATGAAGGAGAGCAAGAGGAGAAACAAAGAAATGAGGGAAGGAAAGAAAAAGCACATTCTGAAATCATGACTTATTGTCTGATTAAAATTTATTCATACCGATGTGTTTAGAAAGAGAGCAATAACATAAAATACTTGTGTAAATGAATTAAAAAAAAAATTTCTTCGTCTCCTCCTCCTTCTTTTTAATTTACTTGGCAGGGAGAGATACAGCTAGAAAGGGAACGCAAGCTGGGGGAGTGAGAGAGGGAGCAGCAGGCTACCCGCCGAGCAGGGAGCCAGATGCAGGGCTTGATCCCAGAACCCTGGGATCATGACCTGAGCTGAAGGCAGACGCTTAATGACTGAGCCACCAGGCATCCAGGTATCTTTCTTCTTAAAAGTTATATTTTCTAATTAGGGTTTTTAAAAAGATTTATTTATTTACCTGAGAGAGAGAGAGTGCACATGAGCAGGGGAAGGCAGAGAAGAAGAGGGAGAATCTTTAGCCGACTCCCCACTGAGTGGGGAGCCCTCACCTGGGGCTTGATTCCAGGACCCTGAGATTACAACCTGAGTGGAAATCAAGACTCGGTTGCTTAACGAACTAAGTCACCCAGGTGCCCCTCTAATTAGGTTTTGCTGATAGCTAAGGGTGGGTATTTTTAAAATATATTAATTCATTATCACCAAACTTGCTGAATGTCTTAATTCTAATAATCTGTGTATTTCTTGAAGTTTTCTATGTCAGCAATCGTACTTTCTAAAAATCCTGATAACTGTGTTTACTCATTTCTAATCTTTGTAGCTCTTATTTCTTTTCCTTTTTGCATTGCATCGGGAGGACTTCTTGGTCAGTATCAAATAGAAGTGATAACAAGATATATTTTTTTCTTTACTTGATTTTAAAAGGAACATTTCTAGTTTTTCATCAGTAGTTTTGCCAAGGTTTTCGATTGCTTCCTTTTACTAGGTTAAGAAGTCTCCTCTTGTGCAGCTACCAACTGATGGCCGTTCAGCTCCAAATTCACCCTTCATTGCCTGCTTTGCAGTAATGGGAATGGACCTTGTAAATAGTTCTCCTTTGTCAGCTTTTTCATTAGAGGGTGTGGAGAGATACCACAAGGGGAGGCTGCTTCTCTTTCTGATTTTAGTGTGCAGTTCTTGCTGGGCTCCCGCAGTGCGTGTTGCTTCTCCAGTGCCTGCCCTGCACTGCGTTCCTGGCTTCTCCTGTGCCTGTGTCCTCCAACACAGGTGGCCTCCCCAGCGCTTGGCTCCTCAGTCTGTGGAGGTCAACAGTGCCCAGCAGCCAGCAGCTGCCTGCAGCATCCTCTCAGGTGACTTCACAGTGGAGTGGGGCCAGGGAAGGACCTCACCTTGAATGTTCCCTCCTGGCATTCCTTGAAGGCAGCCGTGTGGTGAGTTCCAGAGTGCCTCTCTGTGGGTGGCTTCCCCCAGCACCCAAGAAGGTGGATTTCTGGGGAGTTCTGCTGGCATGGAACCTCCTTGACTTCTCTGCCGTCCTGTGAGCCATGGCTGTGCCTTCTCCAAGTTCTGGATCATAGTCCCGGTGTGCCTGGCTGTGGGGTTGGGAACTTTTCCTTATTCTCTCTCTCAGTACAAGGGTTAGTGGCTGCTCCTTATAACTGCTTATCCTGTATTCTTCAGAGTTCTCTTTACCACTTAATAGTAATCACTCATCAATCCCCTGACATAGCTAATTACTCTTTATATTAAACTCTCCTTGTTGAAATTACTGTGTTGTTTCTGTCTCCTGAGTAGAACCTACCAAGAACATCTCTAACTCTAGTTTATAGAACAAGATGAAAATTTTGTAAAACACTTCTTACATCAATTTCAGTGAACACATAGTTTTCTTGTTTATTCAGTCCAAGAGGTGAGCTGAATGAATCAGTTATTACATTATTATTGTTGTTGTTGTTATTGTTATTATTATTTAGTAAGCTCTACCCACAAAGGGGCTTGAATGCATGACTGCGAGATCGAGAGTCACTTGTTTGCTCTACCAACTGAGCTAGCCAAGTACCCTTGAATGAATCAACTTTTAAATAATCAACCTTCCTTATACATCTGGAATAAGCCTTCTTTGCCTGTACTGTATTATTAACTTAATACAATGTTGGTCAATTTGATAATATTACAAGATTTTTTGCATCTGATAAATTATGTAAGTGATATTACTATAAAATTTCCTTTTATTTTTATCTTAATTAGTTTGCATTTGCATTTACCAATTCTTTATTTATCATTGCTTTTTGAATCTCCTCTTCCATCCTTATGGATTCAACTTTTTCTTTAACAAAATACATTCAATAATGTGTGTGTGTGTGTGTGAGAGAGAGAGAGAGAGAGAGAAAGGGAGAAACTGGGAGAAAAATGTCTTGAGAATAATAAATATTTTTAGTCTTTGTCTGAAATGTCTAATTCGTCCTTACTTTTGAATGATGACTTTGCTGAGTATAAAATTCTAGGTTGAAAGCATTTCCTCTCAAAAAAAAATTTTTTTTTTTGTAGATTCCACTGCTTTCTGGACTCTGTTGTTCCTGATAAAATACTTTATGTGAGTCTAAATATAGTTCACATATACATAATCTGTCTTTTCTCTCTGTTTCCTTTAAGATTTTCTCATTGTTTGATTTTCTGTAGTTTCACCACTCTATGTCTAGGTGATTTTTTAAAAAAAAAAGTTTGCTCAAGATTGGGTCCACCTCTTCAATGCAAAGACATGTTTTTCTCCAATTTCAATCAGTCCTCTCAGAAGTCCTATTACACTTATGTGCTTTTTTCATTCTTTTCTCCAATTTTTAAGATTCCTCTTTCATATTTTCATCCACCTATCTCTATATGCTTAATTCTCAGTATTTTCCTTAAATATAATTTCCAACGCCATCACTCTCTCTCCTTCTGTTAGATCTGCTGCAGGAATGCATTTCAGGATGGTCAGTTAGGGGGTTAGAATACCTGAGAAACTGGCCCAGAATTATCTTTATTGGAAGGCTGTTACCACTCATCTGTAATAGGTGGGCACATATTTAGAATTTTTGAATAGCCCCTTTAAAAAATTATTTATTTATTTTTAAAGATTTTATTTATTTACTTGAGAGAGAGAGAGAGTGAGCCCACACATGAGAGAGCACAATTGGGGGGTGGGGCAGAGGGAGAGGGAGAAGCAGGCTCCCTGCTCACATGGGACTTGATCCCAGGACCCCAGAATGATGAATTAAGCTGAAAGTAGACACTTAATCAACTGAGCCACCCAGATGCCTCCCCTTTTTTCTTTCTTTCTTTCTTTCTTTCTTTCTTTCTTTCTTTCTTTCTTTCTTTCTTTCTTTCTTTCTTTCCTTCCTTTCCTTTCCTTTCCTTTCCTTTCCTTTCCTTTTCTTTTTTCTTTCTCTCTCTCTCTTTCTTTCTTTTTTTTCTTTCAAGATTTTATTTATTTATTCATTTGAGAGAGAAAGAACATGAGTGGGGGCAGGGGCAGAGGGAGAAGGACAAGCAGACTCTGCACTGAGTGGAGCCACCCAGACCGCCCTGGAGAGTCCTTTGCTAGTCGAGCAAGATCTGGAAAACAGCAGCATCAGTGTTGTGTGGGAGCTGGTTAGAAATGTCGAATCTGAGGCTCTGCCACATACCTACTGAATTAGGATCTGCACATTTTTAAAAAAAGATTTATTTATTTTAGAGAGACTGAGAGAGAGAGCGCACATGTGCATGAGGTGGGGGGGCGCAGGGCAGAGGAAGAGAGAGAGAGAATCCTCAAGCAGACTCCCTGAGGAGTGTGAAGCCCGATGTAGGGTTCCATCCTGGGACCCTGAGATCATGATGGCTCAGGTCCTACGTACAACTACTGAGCCACCCAGGTGCACTGGGTCTACATTTTTAACAAGATCTTCCAGGGGTTGTTGAAGTTTGGGAAACACTGCTATAATGAGACTTTTTTTTTTAGGTTTTATTTATTTAAATATTCTCTATACCCAGTGTGGGGCTTGAACTCACACCCCCCAGATTAAGAGCCATCTGACCGAGCTAGCTATTTGTGACTTTTCATCACTGGTCTGAGATGAGATTAAGTGAAAAATGGAGAGTGAGCATTTAGTCATTTTTATATCTTTTGCCAAAGTAATTTTATGACTCTTCAATCTAATAATAAGTGCTTTGGACTTAACAGTTGTATGTATTTTTGTTTTTATTTTAATGATCTATTTTATTGTATTCACCTCAGCTTAAGGAGTTTGTTTGGCAGCTGGCATCTGCATTGGCACTTGAAATTCGAGAAGCTTAGCCACCAACTAGGAGAGCCGCTGGATGTTTGGCTCTCTCCAGCCTTCCTCATGTGGTTATATTCTTGTGGCCTGCAGATACAAAAGAGGAACTGAGAAGCTGTGCTTGCTTTTAAGCAATTCCCTAGTAATTGCTAAACTTTCTGACAACCACACTGCTTTTTAATTTCAATTGCTATTTTTTAAAATGTCTTTTTTTTTTTAAAGATTTATTTATTTATTTTAGAGAGTATGCACGTGTGATTGAGGGGAGGGGCAGAGGGAGAGAAAGAATCTCAAGCAGACTCGGCACTGAGCGTGGAGCCCGACTAGGGGTTCAATCTCATGGCCCTAAGATCATGACCTGAGCGGAAACCAAGAGTCAGCCACTTCACTGACTGAGTCGCCGGTATCTTTGAATTTCTGAAAAGTCTCTTTAGTTCTTTTTCAAAGGGTGAATTCATTTTCTTTTCCTGTTCCATTCCATTCTTCAAACATACTGTTTTTTAAGCTGTATGAGTCTTTCAGGTTGTTCTATTTTTATGTTTTGTTTTGGAGGGCCATTTTTCCTATTTGTTGTACATACTGTTCTTCTCTCACATGTTTAATTTCCTTTTGTTGCTTGTATGGTTTAACCAAGGGCATCTTCAGCAAGGATTATTCTCCTGTGGGATTCCTAAGCCCTTGGAGTGTGGATGTTTCTCTGGAACATAGTTCTGTACTTGATATTCTGCTGGGTCCCAAAAATGTCAGTGCTGAACTAGTTTTTTGGTAATTATTTGGAGGGATTCCCTCCCTTGTGGATAGAGTAAATTCAGACTCCTCACACACATCTGACATAGTCTTGGGGTTTTTTGTTTATTTGGGGAGGTTTTTTTTTTTTTTTGGCCTCTACCTCAGAGCTTGGATAGAGAGCAAGCTTCCTTGCCACTTCTCTGGGTGAGCTGGTGGACCTGGTCAGTCACCTCTCAGAGCTGTGCAAACCTTTAAGAATTCCTGCTTTGTCACTCCTCATGTAGTCCCGTGGACCTGTCTCTTGCCCCTACATGGGGTTTAAAATGACAATCCCTTCCCTTTGGACCATATCCAAGTGTAAACGCTTTTGCCCACAGTGTCATGAGCAGCAGAATACTGTTTTAACTTTGAACCCTTTCTACATTTCCAGCACTTAAAAAAAAATTCACAATATCTGTGTAATAGGAGATTAGAATGCTTGCTTAATCTTCCATGTGAAAGAACTAAAAATTTGAACCTTTATCTCTAATTATGGCTTAAAAAGATTATTCTCCTTGCTGGGCAGGCCCCGGATGTCCTCAGTTGTGTATGAAATCCATGTTGAATGCCCCAACCTTAGGCGTGTGTTTTGGGTAGATACCAGGAAGGGCTGAGTCAAAGGGGTAACAGTGCGACTGTGCTGTCCCCTCATATTACCTTCATTCCTCTTCCTTATTTCTTATAATATCATATCATCCTCTCATTTCTCTATCCCAGGAGTCCCAAATGCTGAGAATGGAGACCTCTTCTCCTGTTACTTTCTTTATCAGGACACCACCGCTGCTCTAAGCCCTCGTCTTTCTCTTACTGTATGGGGAAGCCTAAGAGTTGTTTGGGAGGGGGTGAGTGGCACAGTCAGTTGAGCATCTGATTTGATTTCGGCTCAGGTCGTGATCTCAGGGTTGTGAGATCGAGCCCTGCATTAAGCTCCGAGCTCAGCGTGGAGTCTGCTTGAGTTTTTCTCTCCCCTTAACTCCCACTGTTGAACTCTCTCTCTCTCTTTTTTTTTAAAAGATTTTATTTATTTGACAGACAGAGATCACAAGTAAGCAGAGAGGCAGGCAGAGAGAGAGGAGGAAGCAGGCTCCCTGCTGAGCAGAGAGCCCGATGTGGGGCTCCATCCCAGGACGCTGGGATCATGACTCAAGCCGAAGGCAGAGGCTTTAACCCACTGAGCCACCCAGGCGCCCCCATCTCTCTCTCTCTAAAGTAAATTAGAAAAATGAAAGAGTTGTTTGGGGGAGAAGTTCACAAAAATCACTTAACTCTAAGGCTGTGTTCGTTTTCTTGTGGCTCTTTTGGTAGTATCTTTGAGGAAAAGACCACCCAACCACTGGGGACCAAGATTTCGGATTTTATCTTAAGACATAGGCTACGTAGTAGCAGAGAAGCATACAGTTCATGAGGATATCTAGGCTTGTTATCACAGTTACAAGCATGAGAGAAACAACACAACAAACAAGTGAAAAGATCAGTTTGGCTGTGCAAAGCAAAGCTATCAACACACCCACTTACCGCTTGACCTCAATTTCCATGTCACACTATAGCAAATCCATATATCATAAAATAGGCCACATCAACTCTATTCCAAGTTCTAACTGAAGAGAACGAATGCTAGAACTCTGCCTGTGCATGAATGGCCTCCATCATTCTGTTCTCCCTACAGAGCACCCTGCACATACATCATGACCATCTGATGCCATCCAAAAGAAGATGAGTTGTTAGGTTTCCCTCATACCCCAAACAGTACAAACTCCAAACACTGTAAAATGTCCCAAATCAGGGATATCAGAAGGAAGAAAGTTTTCCCAAGTTCAACTCTGTCCCTGCAGTTACTCTAGAAAAGTAATAAACACGGACACAATTTATGCACAGCTGCAAGAACTTGAAAGTAAATGAAGTTGGGCTTTTGAAAAGTAAACCTTCACAAGCCCATTTCCCTCATGCCCTTTTATCTCTGTCCCTCTCTGCATCCAACAATTGTTCCATTTAGTATAGTCAGTACAGTTCCTTTTCAAAGGAAATGGAGTAAAGATATTTTAACCCCTTGAAGGCCAGACTTATAAAATCAATTTTAAAAAATAAGCCAGTCCTGTTTCTGGGAAGGGCAGATTTGCCTTCTACTTTTGTCCTGTATTCTTTCACTCTTAGAAATGAGGATGGCAGGCTACACATTTCTCAACCTCATGGTTATCAGTAATTTAAATAATTCAAAAATTCTATAGAAGTAAACTTCACTGTAATACATAGCAGGCCCTTTCTCCCTCCAACCCCCCTCTACAGTACTTCCTAAGTTAGAATGTCAGCCTCATTTTTCATTTCATTCAAAGTGACAGAAGGAAAAAAAAAAAGATACTTTAGGGCCTAATCAGGTACTGTACCGGTGTCCCCAGTGATGGAAAAAACCCTCGGATTACTTCGGTGGGTTTGTCAGCTCTATTGTCAGCATAGTCAAGTGGCTGGAGACAGGAGAACTAAGAGAAAATAGTCGAATTTTAATCTGCTTTTTAAAGGCTCTTGGTCAGAAGTATAGCAATTCAGATACCCCTGTTTGAAAGCAGCAGGACAGATTTGTTAGAAGACAAAAGCTCCAATTAGTATTTTCCACACCCTTTCACAATTTTCTCTACCGCTTTTGGCTCTGAAACCCTTTATGCCAGGCCTTTGTGCCGGCAGGAGGCGGGTGGAAGGGTACCTCGGAGGGCCGGGGGCGGGGAGAGCCCGCGGCTTGCAGAGCCGGCCCGCCCGCCCGGTGCCCGCCGGCCTCCCGCCGAAGTCAAGGAGCCCCGGAGGGAAGGCGAGCCCCGGCCGGCCAGCCCCGGGGCGCCGGGCTGGGGGGGCTGCAGGAGGGGAGCCTACCTGAGTTGACCGAGAGTCGGGCCTGGCGAATGACCACCTGCGGGGCAATGGGAGTTGCCGGCCGCAGCTTGTGGAGCCCCTTGGCGACCTGCAGGAGTTCGCCCGAGACGTCGAGCCCGTACAGGAAGCGGTCGCTTAAGAACACGATGGCAGCGGCGGTGGCACAGTCGCGGGCGAGGATGGAGGCTTTCAGGGACGCCTGCGGGAACATCCCGGGACGTAAAGAACCACACCGAGGCCGCGCCCCGCACGAGAAGGCCGCCCTGGGACCAAGCTTAGTCTTCTAGGTTTTTGTTTTTCTTTTCTTCTCCTTCCTTTCCTTTTCCTTTCTCCTTGCTTGCTTGCTTCCTTCCTTCCTTTTCTTTCCTCCTTCCTTCCTTTTCCTTCCTTCTTCTTTCCTTTCTCTCCCTCTTTCTTCCTTCCTTCCTTCCTTTCTTTCTTTTTCTTTCTTTCAGTCAAAACAAGAACAACAAAACCTAGAACTAGGGGAAGAAACCTACTTTATTGGGCGGCTGAACGGAAAGAAAAAAAAATAAATAAGGAAAATCCAAGTCAATTGTGAGATAAAACCTTTCTTCCATTTTGTTTTCCCCACTACATTTCTAAAACTCTACAAGTGATAAATGCATATTTCCTGTCATTAGAAAATTCAAACAACATAAGGTAAAAATGAAAAGTGCCCCTTAGTTTCCTGACTCTTTACCTGATGTTTTCCCTTCCTCCTCCCCAATCTCATTCTCATTCTTCCTCATCATGATTTCAGGGCGATCCTTCTAGAAACTTCTACCCTCTTGTGTATATTTAGACATTAATTGGTTCCTTGTCTTGCCTTGCTCTCTCCCCCTTTCCCTCTTTTTCTCTCTCATAAATGAGATTACACTAGACCTATTGTCATGTTGGTTGCTTCTTTCAGTCATCTTAGCATCTAGAAGAACGTTATGCATCAGTTCATAACACTCTGCTTCACTTACTGCCTACATTTTAATTAAGAAGAAATATAGAATTTTAGGAAATATTTTAAATTTATCTTGTATTTAGTTAATGAATAAAACAGGAAAAAGTAGAAAACAGGCATGGAATGAAATTGTAACATAGAGTGAGAAGTAGAGATAAGCAAGGCAGACTTGAATGGGAAAACATCATCTTTTGATCTCCAAGGTATTATACTCAAGATGTTCAAAGTCATGGAACCAATGGCACAAATGAACTTCCCACTCGGTAGTACTTTCTCCATTTGCTAAAGTAAATCAAGCAGTGCTTTCTGAGCATATTGGTTCACATGGGAAGCCCAAGAAAGCATTGCTCATTTTCCTAGCACAATGTTACTACACAAAGCACTGCTTTCTTCACTACGTAATCCTAAGTACTAACAATTATTGAGTAAAACTAGATGTGGGGCATGGTGCTAAGTGCTTTACATGTGCTAATTCACTCACTCTTTACAACGATCCTAAGAGGCAGATTCTATTAATACCCCCATTTTACAGATGAGAAACCTGAGACTCATAGAGATTAAGTAACATGGCCACCATCACATGATCCGTGACTAAGAGGGGAGATTTGAACACAGGAAGTCTAGGTCCAAATCCCACATGTTGAAGTCCCATGTTGTACCGACTTTATTTTAGGAAAACGGGAATTGGATATCAATTATCTGACACTTGCAGTAATGCCAGTAAATTCCAAATACGTAATCAGTCTTGTTACAGTTGCTGGTCTGAGCATTATTTACTTTAATGAATTGAAACTAAAAGATGATGTATTCAAATTGGTAGAGAGTAACCTCTGCTTTTCAAAATCTGCCTGGAACTGTTCTTTTGGGTTTTAATTTGATACTTGTGTATCTCTGAGTAAAACTGGCCTAAACTTTTATATTTGGCCCATTCTAGAGTTCTGTTGATGGTGCTGATAACAGGATTTGAGTTTTGGTATACTTGTGCGCTGTCTATAGCACTGTCGGTAGAACATAACATATATTTATAGGTTTTCATCCATCAGGCAATGCCTACCAATAACCACCACAATAACCCCTCTATTTTCACACTGATGCTTTCTTAACTCGTTAAGGCTTTTAAGCTATCACTGTGTTTATTAAGTCTAGAAAGTGATCATTTGCATTTGTATTTATCCTTTTATTCAAACTGATCACTGTTCTCATTGTGATAGAGATGCCAATTATTAAGGCGGTAGTGGGGCTGGGGGGAGTGGGGATACCTCTTCTCTTTTCTTGGTGTTTCCTTCCATGTGAAGGGAGCTGGCTTACTGTAGCACTCCTGGTCTCTACTTCTTTATCCACTCTGCCCCAGGGGAGGTGGAATGACTTGACTGGTAAATGTGGGAAGAAGAAACTGGCATGTCTGGCTTAGCTCTTCTCTTTTTTTCCTTGGAGATGGGGTGTCTAAGGGAAACAGGATACTCTGCTTTTGTGTATCAAAAGTCTTATCTAGGAAGCCACACTCTATGTGGGGTTCTGCTTGCCCTTGTAATCCCTGTGACTGAATGGGTATGTCTACATAATTCTGGGATTCAGCTAGTAGACCTCCTGTGGTCTAATTATGAAGCTATATCTTTCAGTTTTGCCTTTATCAGAATTAATGGTAATGTTTAACCTCTTGTCTTCTAACTCTTGATATATTTCTCAATTTGCTCAGAATCCAGGAGGGAAAGAATCCTAGAACCTCTCTAAGATTCCAAAGTTAATCATGGCCTAATATGCCATAATCCTTTCTAAGGAAAACTGAGCTGCCCACAGTTACTGCTTTTGAAACTAGCATGTATTTTGCTACTTGACCTTGACTCCATTTCCCTACCCCACCACCAGCTCAAAGCTAAACTAAGAGTACTCATCAGATCCCTGGTCTCATGACTCTGTGGCCTGGCTTGAAAAAAATGAACTTTAAAATCTGAACTAAAAAACATAGAAAGAATGGTAGGGTAGAAAGAAGCAGAAAATAGAATGTAGCTAAGTCACACTTATGGGCAACTGCAGACTGAAGATGGAAGAATGATGGCTCTGAATCCAAATGCACCTGTCATGAGTGCCGTTCTTAGGGTGCCAGGCCTCCTTGATTGTTCCGTTATGTTTTCATAATAATGTACACCCTATTTTGTGAATTTGCTTGAGTGAAACTTTGTTCCTTCCAATAATAAAAAAAAAAACACCCAAAAAACTAAAATTGAAGTGTTCCAAACTTCTATTGAGAATTGTCAAATTTTAAAATAAGAACTAGTCAGTCAATTGACATTCATAAACTGTAAATTCAAATGGAAAGGAAAATTTATGGTTTTATGTATGCCTGGCTCTGTTCACTGAGGTTGGTCTCTGGTCAAGAGTCCTTCCTATGCTAAATACCCATGACACAGTACTTCAGTTTGCAACCTCAGCTGTTATCTGCAGAACTTGTAGCTTCTTCCACTACGAGGCTTCCTAAAACTTGTGCTTGGAAAGAGAAATATTACTACTGTCACCCTGCTCGTCATGATCGTGTATCTTTCAGGGTTCTCAGCAAACCACAGTGAGTTCCCTCTCTTTCAGGTTGCCCTTTGGTGTATGTGTGATGGTCAGTTCTGCTCTCCCTTCTCACAGGTGCCCCACTTCAGTTTCTGGGTAACCATATACCTACTTGGGATGCAATGCTATTTTCCAGAGGTGATTCTTGATCCTTACCTCTCCAATAAAAATGGTTTCCATTATTGTAGCAACATCTAGTTCATGAAAAACATTCACAGACATTATCACATTTAAATTTATAGTAACTATAACATCTAAGTAAGGTAAGGAGACTGAAGTTGAGAGGTTAAGTGACTTGCCAAATTTACAAAGCCCAAGGGGTGCCTGGTCGGCTCAGGGGTTAAAGCCTGTGCCTTTAGCTCAGGTCATGATCCCAGGGTTCCGGGATTGAGCCCCCACATTGGGCTCTGTTCAGCAGGGAGCCTGATTCCCCCTCTGTCTCTCTGCCTACTTGTGATCTTTGTCTGTCAAGTAAATAAAATCTTTAAAAAGAAATTTACAAAGCCCAAAGGTCAGGGTCAGGCAGGAACCCAATCTGTATCTTTTTAAAGTAAATTTTCTTATTGTGGTAAACAATGCATAACATAAAATTTACCATCTTCACCATTTTCAAGTGTACAGTTCAGTAGTGTTTAGTATATTGTTGTGGAATAGATCTCAGAACTTTTCCATCTTGCGAATATGGAAGTCTTTCCTGGTCAGACAACTCCCTTGCCCCACCACAACCCAGCCCCTGGTAATCACCATTTTACTTTTTATTTCTATGAATTTGATTATTATAGGTAGTTCAAGTAAGTGGAATCATATAGTATTTGTCTTTTTGTGACTGTGTCTTTTTGTGATAATTTAGCATAGTGTCCTCAAGGTTCATTCAGGCTGTAGCATGTGACAAAATTTCCTTCCTTTTTAAAACTGAATTATTCCATTGTATGTATATGCCAAACTTTGTTTATCCATTCATCTGTTGATGGACATTTGGGTTGCTCTAAACTGTTGGCTATTGTGAATAGTGCTGCTAAGTACATGCACATGACAATATCTCTTCAAGATCTTGCTTCCAATTATTGTGGCTATATATCCAGGAGTGAAATATATGGATCATAGTATAATTCTAGTTTCAATTTTTTTTTTTTTTTTTTTGAGGAAGCTCCAGGCTGTCTTCCTTAGAGGTTGCACCATTTTACAATCCCAACAGTGAACAGAGTTCCAACTTCTCCATATCCTTGGCCAACACTTGAGGGACACAAGTGTATTAAGGGTCAAGTTTTCTTCCACTTTCTCCCTATGATCTGATCAAGGTGATTTTGCTCAGTGACTAATCTGGGCATAGAAAGCTGGGTCTCTGGAGCAAGGGCTAAACTTGTCACTCACTGAATCCAACCTGTTTCTAAAGAAACCATATCCTTTATTATGATGAGCAAATTCTAAAAGGGACAAAAAAAAATTGAAAAGAACATTCTTCTTACGGATTTAAAAGTAAAGCAACAAAAAGAAACCTTTATAGGAGATGACCTTTAATTTCAGTGTTTTGAAATTCTCTAGTAAAAGTTGGTACCATGAGAGCAAATGATGAGTTGGTGATTACCTGGAAATTATACCAGCAAACATTCTTCACACTGAGCTGCAAAGACACTTTGCAAGTTCAGTGGAAACTTCTATGAGGTGGTCTTCCTGACTTGAGATGATTG